CCTCCCCGCGGCCTTCTGGGCGCCGTTACTCCCGCCGGTCCTCGTCTTCCCAGTGCGGCGCTTGCGGCAGCGAGCTGGGCCGGGCCCCTCGGGTGTGCTCTGTCACCTAGGGAAAGCACAAGCAACCGCCCCGATTACCCACGCGAGCCCTAACGTGGGGTTGAGTGCAGAGCCTGTTGAAGCTGCCCGAGAGCGACGCATTTACGCTGTGCTTAATGCTGTTGTGTTGGACTTTGTGTCACGCAAACCCTGTCGTTTCTTGTCTTTTTAGTTCCTCTGCTTTAGAAGAAGAAAATTTAGAAGAAAATTTACCTTTCTGACAGAGTAGTGGCTTATATAAAGATAATCGCCATTTTAAGTAATTTGTGGGGATGACTACCAAATGAGTGGCTATCTTGCAGGTTGCAGTGAGCTAGATAAGCACAGATGTCCTGGACTGTATCAGAGCAGGATCTTCCACTTATGGCAGGTTTCATCTCCCATCGCTGCGCGATGAAAGCTTGGCAATCGTACAGCCGACTCACAGATGTAGTCCAAATATACCTGCCTGCTAGTGTCCCGCTGCCCTGCCGTTCAGCCTCACACAACAGCTCTCTGAAGTTGAGGGCTAGTTTCAGCTTCATCATCAGCTTTCAGGCCAGTTAGTTTCATATGTGTACACTGACCATCGGTAGCAGGAGTCAGAGTACGTTTAACAGTAGAAACCAAGTTTTCCAGCTTCTCGCAACAGGTACTAGCCAACTTTTTGAGGTCCTATCACCAGGTCTAACATCCTGCATTTTGCATGAAATTACTCAAAACTTAATTGTAGAAGCTACCTCTTCTGTTAGGAGCATGTCGTGGTTTAACCCCAGCCAGCAAGTAAGCCCCATGCAGCCACTTGCTCACTCCCTGATGGTAAGACTGGGGGGAGAATCAGAAGAGTAGAAGTGCGGAACTCATGGTTTGAGATAAAGACAGTTTAACAGGTAGAGCAAAAGCCACGCACACAAGCAAAGCAAAACCAGGAATTCATTCACTGCTCCCCATGGGCAGGCAGGTGTTCAGCCATCTCCAGGAAAGCAGGGCTGCATCACGCGTAATGGTTTCTTGGGAAGACAGACACCAGAACTCCGAACGTCCCTCCACCTCTTCCTTTTCTTCATCCCAACTTTATATACTGAGCATGATGTCATATGATATGGAATATCCCTTTGGTCAGCCTGGGTCAGCTGTCCTGGCTGTGTCCCCTCCCACCTTCCCATGCACCCCCAGCCTGCTCGCTGGCAGGCCAGCACGAGAAGCTGGACTGTCCTTGACTGCTCAGCAACAACTCAAAACATCAGTACATAATCAACATTTTCTTATCCCAAATCCAAAACATATCCTTACACTAGCTTCTGTGAAGAAAATTATCCTGGCTGAAACCAGGACAGAGCACAAGATGAAAAGTTGATGCTCCTTGTTATTGTTGAGGGAAGATAAGTAGTTTGTCAGTATGCCAGAGTTCAGCTCAACGTAAGGGTGGCTAAGCTAATTTTCACTAATGTTAAGAAACTTAGCACTAGGGAGGAAGTTAGTTACTATGTTCTTCCAAGGCTGAATCGGTAGCTGGGAGAAAATCTCATGGATTTGTTAGTGTTGAGGAGCATGAATTCTGCTATAGAGCCATGTTGCATGATACACAGAGCAGGAAACCGATGTAATCACACTAATTTGGTAGCAGTTGATTTGCATGTCTGAGCTTCATTTCTCAGCAGGTGTGGATAGTGTGTTTAGTCATAATCGTTATGGATTTTTTTGAGCATGTTTTGGGGGAGTTTTTTGTTGGTTTGGGGTTTTTTTTTTACTAAAATGTAGGGACACATATGATGAAATCATGCATTTGTCTTTCCCCGTAGCATGATGGAGAAATTTGCCATTTCTGAAATGGCAAGTCCATTTGTTTAAATAAAAAACCCAAAAAACAACCAGCCATCTAAGGTATAAAACCACAGGATGTCCACTGTCCTCATCACTAAAAAAAGTAGTCTTCCATCAAAAGGGGAAAATGATACAGCAAGTTCTTGAAATCATCTCCTAGGAGATACATTTTCACAGTGTCTTCATGTGATCATCCTGCTGAGTCAAAAACAATGAAGTCCAAACATGTTGGTGACAAAATTTCTTTCTGGCAAGTAAAATAAAAAGAAGTGCTCCCTGTACTTCTGGTGGGACAGAAGAGAGGAAGATGAAATGAGAATCTCCCAGTAAACTCAGAAGGCTAGTCTGTATTACACTTAGTCTGTAAGTGTAGATTGTACGTGCTCTAAATAGATGTGTTGTGTTAGTTATAGTTGATACAGGATCTGAAGTTACCTTGGAAAGACCTGACATGTTGGACAGCAGAGAATCCGAGGGCATTTGCACTGCAAGAACAGTGATAGATCTCAGTTTAAAGTAAGGGTCATCAACCTTCTCCCAGGTTCAGATATCCTCCCAGCTCTGTTTCTGCAAAAATATGTCCTGATCCAACTAGGAAGTTTAAAATGAGAAGAGAATTACAAGAATTTTCCTCCACTTCCCTTCTCTCTAGTGGACATCCTTTAGGGAATGTCTTTTGCACCCAGTTAATTTACAAGAGAGCCAACAGTATCAAAATGAAACTGGGGGTTCTGCTAGCACTTCTGAGAAATGCTGATTGCTATCTACAATTTCACTTTTCATTCCCCAAACAAAAACTAATTGCATGAAAAGCAAGGGAGTGGAGGAAATTCACAGTTCAAGAGATTGACAAGTCTATAGAGATAATATGTTTGACCCCTGTCAGAGAAAAAAACCATTCTGTTATTTAGACTTGACATAGGCACTGAACTATCAAAACACAGGCAGGCTTAGATGTATCATGGGCAAAAATGTAGGTGTGCAGGAACCTTTACTGTGGAAAACTTGGAGGGGGATTCAGAGGATCTAAAATTTGGGCTTCAGGGCCCGGAAGACTATTTAATTACTTAAACTCACCTTGTACATCCAGCTTGTTAAAGGTTTGAATACTTTTTGAGTACAGTCAGTTTCATTTTTACCTTTCATTATGAGAACCAAGTGGTTATGCAGGGCAGAACAAAAAGATGTGCCTTCATCTCTGTTACTTCTTGCCCCTCCTCTCTTTCACAGTTTCTTAGCAATGCCTGTTACTGATTTGCAGGTCGTCAGGGAACAATGAATTTTCTCAGGAAAAAAGTTAATTAAACTTAAAATAATTTTACATATGTTAATGTGTGTTTATGCTTTACTACATTACTTTGTAGCATTGGGATTACTTTACATAACTAGAAGTTTAAAGGTTGCAAGATAGAGAGCATTACTGCGTTGTGTGCAATTTCTTGAAGAGAGCAAAGATTGCTATCTTAAGATTGCAAAAAGTACACAAGATTTTAAAGCAGGTGAAAGTATTACTGATCAATAGCAGAGGTCGGCAGTGGAGAATGCAGCCCTCATTTTGGATTTAATTTCTTTTACTTTGAGATACAGTGCTCAGAGCTAGAGTCACTGAAATCTTAATTTTTCTCAGGAGCTCAAGTGTTGTACTACCCATACAAACCAATTAACTCATTTTTCTCTCCAACCATAAAGCAGCAATAATAGTATTTTTTCACTCCTTACTAATGTTGTCTGGCTAGTTAACACAGTTTGTATACTTTTTGAGGAGGAATATAATACCATTCTGTAAACAAAAATGAAACTTCCTAGGCCTTCCCTTATGGTGTCTATTCTGTTGAATTTATCTTTGATAGTACTAATATGAAGATGTTTTACTTCCAAAACTGTGTGGAAATATTTAATGTTAAAATTACTATCATAACAAGGTTGGGTGTTGATTTGGAATACTGGCTACTCTCAGTTAATAAAGTATGCTCAACAAAACCGGAATCAAAAGCAGTGATGAGTTATTAGAATTAAGTCATAAACAGAAATTGGTACTGATTTGACTATTTGTAATTGCTTTAGGACAAATGAAGAGAAAATGGGAGGAAAGACTGAAGAAAGTGGAAGAACTAGCGTCTCACTACGAAAGAAACCCGCTTCCTCCAGTTTATAGACCAAAACTATCCAAACCCTTTCTGCCATCCCCTGTTTGGAAAATATTTTGTCGGCAGGCTGAAGCTTTCAATTATGTAAAAACCTGCAAAGAGGTAAATTCGTTGTTAGGTGAATGTCTCTACTCTTTAGGTACTTTCAAGGTTGAACTTCACTTAAAAGCTTGGTTGACAGTGAAGTCTATCAGATTGCAAGATATGGTTTTTTTTACACTGGAGGTAGCTCTAAGGAGTACTAGTTCTAACATATGAATTGATATATGAGGTTCTTAAGATCAGATGCTACTTAGCTTGAAAAAGAATATGTGATCTACTTACAGTTTTCTAGTATTTACTAGCTTTTGACCAAAGAAATTAATGTCAAATAAGAACTTCTGAAGACTTTAACTGGGTCTTTGAATAAAAAAGCTTCAATGTTTTTATTTAAAAAGGATGTTCATGTATTTGCCTTGGAAAAGAACACACAAAGTGGACAGAGGTTTTACCTTGTAACAACATATAAAGAGCTTTGGTTTTATTACACGTGAGTATTTGAAAAGGTACCCTATATGTTGCCATAAGACAGTAGTATACTGTATATACTATTATCTCGTAATAGCTATTACTGGATAGCTATCCCCAGTAGCTGCCTGCTGCCCTGACTAACACAGAGCTGTAACACATTGCCTGAGGTTTGACCTTGGCCATGGGGAAAATCTTTTAAGAACAAACCAATCTATTCTATAGCGAGTTTCAGCTTTCTTTTGAGTTGCAGACTGCCGTTATTTCTGTGAATTAAGGACCCTATCTACTGAACTTAAATCTAATAGCAGTGGTTTTGCTTTTGCTGTCAGCTTTCCTCAGGGGATCATAGCAACACATGACACAAACATACTGCTATGATTAGTCATATATCAATTTAAAGGGGCATTAATATAAATGTCTAGTTACCGATTTATGGGTTTGTATTTGCGTGATGTAGTTTCAAACATTGATAATTTGATCATGCGCTGAATTCTTTTCCCCATTTTTTGTTTCACTATAAAACATTTGGTTATGAGTTAAAAGAAATCTAAGAGTCAATTTTTATATGAAAAGTAAGCTTAACTTTTTTTCTTAATTTGGAAATTAGATTGATTTTTAATTTATTTGGAAAAAAGTCTATGTTATCTCATTTTTAGTGCCTAAGACATATGAATGATAACTTACTGAGTTTTTTACTGTAGTTTCCATCATTCCTTAAATGATGACAGTATGTATTGTAAGACTTGGGGGGCATGGGGAGGAGAACATTTTACAAAGCTAAAGTCTAGGCCAGACAAATATCTTCGCTGATGTTTGATGCTGAAGTTAGTTACAATTTTTTCAAAGTGTTATAGGTCTGCTACTTTTTTTCATCTGGGTGGTTGACTGGAAAATAAAAGAATATTTAGGACTTGTGTGATCCTTGTTTGCAGCTGATAAGTATGTATAATGTTTATCTTGAAAGGTTGTGGTTTGTTTTTGTTTTTCCTTAGCAAAGGTTATAAAACAAGTCTTATGCATTGCTATGAAATAATTCCTGAAAAAGATGCTTGCAAACTTTATTTTGATTTGGAGTTCTACAAACCAGCAAACCCTGGTGCTGATGGCAAGAATATGGTTGCAAAGTTAATAGAGGTAAACTGGAGCAATATCATGTTGTAGATTAATACAAATTTGTTGTTGATTTAATATGAAACCAAAGTATTTACCACTTTATCTTGATTCTTCATATTATTGAATAATCTTGAAATTCATATTATCATATTATTTATGTAGTAAAATTAAAAAATAATTGTAGAGCTAGTGGTTATTTTTATTGAAGTAAAAAGTAGTGTTTTAATTAAAGCAAAGTTCTCTTTAAATGAAAGAAAAAAGTAGAGAAGGATGGTTGTTGGAATGCTTGTATTCACTGTGGGTTTAATGATATGATAAGTTTCCTTTTGCAGGTTGTTTTATGTGCTCTGCCACTTCAAAGCTGTAAACTGAAGGAATGTTTAGGTATTCTTCAGAGCAGCATCAATAAAAGTTCCATTCAGATATTCCTCAGTTCAGTTCCTTTCCCAGCTGGTGCAGTCATATAGCAAGACTTAGATGAATCCCTCCTAATTTTCGTGTCTTCAGATGGCAGTTCATTATAGTTGACTTAAATGATGATGTAGAGAACATCAGGTGATGTTGCACTTAGCAATTTGGTACCTAAAGCTAAATATCTTTGCTAATTATCAATTTTATTAAATAGTGCAAATTTCCATTTTAGTGCAAATTTGGTTGGAAAATGAGCTCCACTGCAAATTCAATATAACAGAGGCGGAAAGTAAGGCAGGTTTTTAGAAGAATATCTTCTGTTCCAATAAAATCTCTTTGTGATTGGCCATTTATTTGTGAGACTTCTGACACATGTCCCTAGGTAGAAAGGAAAGAAAAAAAGATGATTGAGGTCTTTCCTTTGTAAAGAACCCTTCATTGATACAGAATCCAGAGGGGTTTACTCCATTGCGGATCAATTCTGAAATCTAGAGATACCTCAGGTAAAGAGGAGAACTTTGGATTTGCTGTGTAGGGGATCTGAGATGCTAAAATCCAAAGGTTCCAGACCCTTAGGTTCTGAGTCCCAGTCCAAATGTGAGTAATCACAAGCTTAGCTTTTAGAAGGTTTTTAGAGCTATTTTAGAGCCAGACATCTGTTTTCTGCTTAGTTAGTGTTCATTGGGTCATAGCAATGAATTAGCTAAATCATAACAGTGAATTAGCATACCAACCCTTTATATCATGATAGCCTCTATCTTACCTCATTCTAGGTAAGCCTGTATTACAAACATTGTCACTTGTGGGCGTGAACTGCTTTGTGGTGGAAAAAACAGAAGATAAAGCCACTGAATTAGACTTTGACCTGAAAATCTGCTCAGCTTATCACTGTTAGTATATTCAGTGACTTGCTTATGTCAGGAAATACAGTCTATGATGTCAAATTTGGTTAAAATTTTGTTATGAATTAGTTTGAATTAAATTAATTGTATGCTTAAAATGAGGGGGAAAAAAACTTGAAAAAAGATGTACAATCTGCATTTGTGTTAGGCTTTATAGATGCCACTATTAAAAATGCTAGGGAAAATAGCCTAATTAATGTTTATAATTTCAGCTTGTCAGCCAAAAATTAGAAGAACTTTATGATGTAAATTGTTCAGCCAAAGACGTCTTGAATTTAGATTCCAGTACGGATGAAAAATTTAGTCGACACTTAATATTTCTACCCCAAAAGACTGTATTTAAGGATAATATTCATGTTGGTAAGTGTGTTATTTTCTCTTATACCTAGAAATGAAATGTGAGGCTTTGACTTCCTACAGTGCCATCTCACATTTGAATATTTATTTTAATGGACTTTTATGTGGAAACAAATATGTATTTTCAGCAGAAATGACTACATATTTCTACTTCATTAAGCCTCATTATTGCTCAGCACATCTTCTACTTCCTTTTTCTATAATTAGCATTTGTGTTTTCAAAAATGTAACTTTTTTTGTGCCTGTATGTTTTATTTACAAAATTACTGGCAAGACTGGCTTTTGGCTTGAAAATTGTTTTACAGTATGACTATGACTCCTAATTTCAGGTTAATGTCAGTCTTAACAATTGAAGCTAAGATTAATGGCTCTAAATACAGTTGGTTTGTGCTCAGCACAGAGTCAGAAAGGCAGGACAAAGATGGTTTCAAGCCACCTCTATGTAAACATGATTAAGAGAAAGCCGAAAGCAGTTTTAATTGTTGATATAAGTTGGTATTTCATGGGATATGGCAACTCCAACACAAAGAATTGCCAGTTCAGGGTTGTCTTGACTCCATTTTTAAAATAAGTATAATAATACCTCCTCACTTCACGGAAGTATTTTGAACATACTTTTAAAATACTATTTATGAAGCACTGGGGTGCTAGTGGTGAGCATTAATAAGAGATAATGTTGAAATTCATAATTTCTTCTTCTTGTATATACATTCTCTATGGTGTGCAGTAAACGCATGCTTATAGACATGCATTGAACAATGAGGGCATGACAGAATATCAGCTGAGGTTTGTCCGAGTGAAGCAGGAACTGATGGAAAACAGCTTGCCCAGTGGTGGAATTAAAATCTGTATCAAACCTACAAATGCAGAAGTTTGGGTTGTTTAACATTGCACCTGCAGCTTTTGTTTTGTAATTTCTTAATATTTGAATGTTTGATTTTGTAACCTTTGTTCCTTATTGGTTTTGTTTCAAACAGACAAATAGGGGGAGGAAGCAGAAATGCTGTTAGAGAGTACCACAGTAATAATTTAATGGGTTATTAGAAGGGATGAAGTTTAGATTTGTGACATTTAGCTCTCCCATTTGTATTCAGGAGGAACTGTGACAACAGCAGCAGAATTACATGTATCAGAGAGAAAGAAATTATGTGCTTTTACTGGGTTTCCACTGGCAGTAGAATAGGCAGAGTTGAGGATGTTGGGTTCATAATTTTGGTCCACTTAGGTTCCTGCTTTTATTCTGCTGCCTGCTCAGTCACAATCCGACTGTCTTCATGCCCACTCTTCTTTTTTCTTTCTCACCCTTGCCTCTTTTTCTAGCTCTGCACCTTCCCTCATTCCAATCTTGAGTAAAGCTTATACTGTATTTCTTCTTTTATTATACCTCCTGTGTTTTTTAAGTAGCTTCTTACTGTGCACTGTGTATGTCCTAGCAGGGGGGTTGTAGAGAACACAGGGAGGATGGTCTCTTTGCTTTTAGTAATTAATGAGACAGTGCTGGGCTTCTTTCTATCCCAGTACAGCATTAGAGAAAATCTTATTTTTGAATTACCTAGTTATTTCATGGGGATAACACCTGTACTGTTGGATCAAAGTTGTGTAGGGCTGACACATGTTTTGTGTTGCTCTGAGGAATCATCTATGAAAGGTCTTGTCAGCATGAACAGCTGGAGGAGGAAAGCAAACTGTAGGGAGAGGCTAGATCTTGTAGGCCTGCATCATGTACAAATTTTTTTTCCCCAAAATATTTTTAATGTATGCACATGGTCCGTGGCCTAAGCATCACTTCAGGCCAAAATTCAGATCCTTACTCCAACACGGAGGCCATAGGATTCCTCTGAACCTATTTTTATTTCAGCTTTTTTTAACATTAAAAAAACCTATTTCTTATTCTTAGGAGCAGTGGAATCTGTGTCTCTAAACCTTTTGAGGAGTAGCTGACACGGCAAGCTAAGCAGATTGTCAGTTATAAGCAAATGCTTAAAATATTGGCTGCCAGCCCCAAGTGCAGCACAGAGCAGTTATTTCTTATGTGACACCGTGGTAACAGATATAAACCGCAAAGACTTAAGTGGGATTACTGCAATTTTTAGTTCAAAAGTATGGTCTTTAACTCCTCTGCCGCTATAAAACTCTTAAGTAATACATGGATGATAAATAATTTCGTGACAGCAATTTTAGCCTGCTTGACAAACCTAGCTTAAAGCATATTAGCTTTGTACTTCGTGCAAAATACTCTACTGTAGTAAATAACAGAAAAAGCAGATAACTTCATAAAGTAATTTCACAGAATCTATATGAAATATATTCTTTGAGATGACAGAAGGATTTTGTCTAATATTAAACTTAAAAGCGTTAATAATATTTTTCAGACACATTCAAGTGTTTTCTTCCTTTTAAAATTCATCATTTTGGTGGTCTGTCTAATAAACATTACTTTAAGATGAGTTAGTGGTGTTTATGTGGAATAAGCTAGAATATGAACTATCACATCTTGGATGATACTGTTTCATAAGCATTTTATGTCAGGAGTCATGCACGAAGTGCATAGGCTTAAAATTAAATATGATTAAAAACATTTAGTATATAATAATTGTAATTAGTTAGTCGTTAGAATTAAGATACAGAGACTGAATTCATAGCTCGTGTAAGAAAGCACGGGAGATCATGTAGGTCCACAGGAAGGCAGAGATAATGTGGAGATAATGAATTTACATTCATCTACACAGTCGACAAAATCCCAAACATAAAAATACAAAAATACAGTCAAGGGTCAACAACATGAAATGCAGGGTTTGGTAACCACATCTGACCAGTTAGAAGAAATGGGAAGAGAGAAAACAATGGTATGTGAGCATGATAAAGGACTAACTCCCAAAATAATCTTTTGCTGACAAAACCCTTGCTATTCTGACACCAGAGTGATTGTTACTTAATTACACACACACAAAAATGAAGTGGTCAACCAGGACTTTCAAAGATACTTTTAACTTTTTTGGTAATGAAGTAAATATCATTTCTGAAATAGGCACATTTTCTCCACGAACTGAAGATCCAAGTAACTGTTGATATAAACCTAAGAAATTCTGTGTGCATATTTGAACACACAGGGTTAAAACGCAGTGTATGACTAGGAATTATTTGTGTGCCTTACAAGTCCTGTAATGAATTATGAGGATGGTTATATTAATGCTTGACACACTGAGTCATTCTGCTGATATGTAGCATAGGAGGACCCATATTTCATATTCTTTCAGGTTCCCCATTGAAGCTTGAACCAACAACTGCAGAATCCTCCTTGCCAGCATTCCTTCCATTTCATAGTTTTTCTTTCACATCTGTATTTATTCTCTTCTTTCTCCCTGCAAGTAATTTGGGCATGGTTTACATTTATTTGTCTGTCTGTGGTTACCATCTAGCAGAGCCTGGAGTACAATAGGAGTTGGATTACAATACTGGGGGTTTGAAAAATCATTCCAAAATACTTTTGTAAAAGTAATATGTTGTTTGAGTAGGCCCTGGTCAAACTCTTAACGGTGAAGCTGCAAGTAAACCTTTTTAATCATTCTGAAAGTAAAATTAGGGAAAGCAGTAGTGAGAGGGACAATCACAAGCTCTTCAGAATCCTAAATCTGAGCTTGTTAATGTCATTGCATGCATGTCATTAAGTCATTAAAAATATTCAGCTAAATAATTAAAAACTACCTGTGATTGGATTAAAAAAAATAGTGTGTAATAGCAAAGCTACATGAATTCTTTATTCGTGAGTTTAAGAGTTTCAGTAATTGGTACTTGAAATATTAAATCAAACTACATTTCATAAAGGACATTGACTAATTTTTTTCATATCACTGTCGTTAACAAAGTGGTCCTACATTAAACGTTGGAATAAGTCTTACTATTAACAGTCTAGTTCATATGCAGAAATGTTCGGGCTAAGCTAGCATGAAGACCCAAACAACTCGTTCAGTAAGTTTCTGACATTCTAGTGGAAAATTCAAGTTCACAGAAATTTCAGTGCAAAAGTCTTCCTTCTGTTAATCATTAAGTCAAGATCATTTGTGCTCCAAGCATGGGAGCAGCTGGAGACCTTGTCTGTCAGAGGCTTTAATAACTGCAATGGTGCAGGTGTGATGGGTAGGTGAAATTCTTTTGAAAGATACAAAAGATATTTATTTCATTTTTGCACCTTTATCTGGGGCCTTGAATTCAGTTTGGGAATTTGTAGTGACAGCCTATGCACTTACGTTATGTCGGCTTTATTTCTAAAGAGGTAATTGCCAAGCCAGCTTGCTTCTCCAGTCTCTCTGTTCTCTGTAGTAAAATTGCAAAGGGGAAGACTGTGGCATGATACAATTAATATACGCACAATTGTTTATTTTAAAGACGTTTTAGTAAAAATTCTTGCCAAGCATGAGTTTCTTATTTATTAGCCAGAACCATTTGTGCACTGGACTGGTCCAAAAGATTTTTTAAAAAAATTCAGGAAGGGAACCCCCTCCCCAAAACTCCAACCACTTCCATCTTGGCTCTTTTGAAAAATGTTTGCACAGGAAATATGTTCTTTCTCAACTCATAAATGATGTTACCTGCTTTTGGGGTTTTTTTTGTTTGTTTGTTTTTAAGGTAACTTTGTGAGAACCATTTTGCAGCCTGCCATAAGGTTAATGGAGAGTAAAGCTGCTGCTGTGATTCCAGAAGAAGGAGCAGGACATGTTTTCCAGTGTTCTGCAGAAGCAGTTGGATTAGACGGTTCTCCTGCAAACCTCACAGCCATCAAAGATGCTTCCAAAGGCTGGCCAGCTGTTGCTTACAAAACAAAGGATGCGGAAACATCACACCAGGCAGAAAATTCACAATTTTCCTTTCTAATAGTAAATGATAAAGAAGGAGACAAGCAACTTTTTGTGGATCTAGGTAAATACAAGAAGTGCTTTTAAACCTCTTCGGGTTGCATCAAAGGTTAAGAAATTAGATGTTCCTTAATCTTTGATTACAGACAAGAAGGACAACAGTGTTCTTATTGTTGTCCCTACAGTCAGAATTTAAACCAAATACAATATGTGTTGAAACTGTAATCATAAATGCTGTATTTTAAAGGAGCCTCAGATTCTTGGTCCACAGAACTTCTTATATTACTACATTTAATTATTTTGTTCCAAAGTTTGAAGAAGCTCTTGCCACACAACACTCTTTAATTAATTTTGCTTCTAAGGACTTAGTGCTCCTATTTGTATTAAGAGAGAATAGTATATATTGCATATTTGGCATTTCAGTTGAATTAGAAGTTGCTTAATTATGGAACATGTCTTACAGGCATGGCCTTCTGTATTGTTCTACGTGTATGAATCGAGCCTTCTTCCCTTGTTTGGAATGGTGGTTGTTAGGTTTTAATGACAGAATAATAGAAATTTTGGGTTGGGCACTTCAGGCCCTAGTTGTGCTTAGCCTATTCATGGTATTAAAATGTTTAAAATCTCAAGGAGCATAACACCCATAGTCAAACTAAAGTTTGAGAGTTTCACCCTTCTCCATCCCCGAATCTGGTTTCTCTGCTTTTTTGCCCTGTCTCAGTGAAATGAAAATAGCTTGGCATGCTTTTGTACAGCAGTCTGTTATGCCCTTGAAGACTGTTTACCATGTTTATTCTCAGACATCTCTGAAGAACCCCCACTCCTTAAAATTCTCCTCATGGAATTCAGGATCATGTTTATTGTTGGCCTCTTCAGTGTATCTGATTTATTGAAACGTAATCCCAAAGTTGGCCCTCTAGTAGGCTTCTCCATACTGATTCAGAGGATTACTGTGCAGCTACTGTTCAAAATCCCTTCAAGCATATGCGTGAATGGAAATGAAAAGAAAATCAAATGGTTTACTATGTCACTTCCCCTTTTACGGATTTGATATTAGTCCCCCAAAACTACCCATCCTCAATATTTGTGTTACACACATTACGTCAAAACTGGAAGGCTAAAATTGAAGTAGCTGGAATACTGAGTTACATCACAAGGGTGCAGCGATAGAAAGGGATGTGACAGTCTTCTTGTATGAGATCTTTTAATTACTTTATCTTCATGAAATCCACAAATAATGCATGCACCTCCTGAATACATTCGTAGACAGATTAGGCAATGTTTACAATACCTGTTCCATTTTTTTGTTGTTTGTTTTTGAGTTTGGGATTAAATTTTCCTGATACATCCTTCACAGTGGTGTCTGGTACGCCAAACCCAGGAAGTTTGATGAGTATGAAGTACTTGCTTGTTGAAAATAATTGTGTAGCTTTTTATGCTCAGTTGTATTTCACAAAGTTAGTGTGAAAGCACCAGGTTTTTTATATTGAAGGAAACTTCTAGCAATGATAACATCAAAAATATTAAAATGTAGAGGTGTTGAGTGTTTCTTAAATTCTTCAATAACATAAAAATGACATGTGTGCATGATCTTGCTTTGTTGCATTTCTTCTGTGAGAGGTGAGCTGAAGTCAGTAAGAGTTTTTGTCCATTCCTTAGACCCTGAGCTGGGTCTAAGGAAAACTGTTTAATTTACAAGTACTAAGTATCTTAAATCCTAGCCAGCATTGTTATGTTAAGAAATATTTGGTTTCCTGTAGGAGTTTATACAAAGAATAGAAATTTCCGGATGTATAAATCATCAAAAGCAGGAAAAAATGTGATTCTGAAGATAGCAGAGGATAATAAGTTTGTCCCTAACAGTGAAGAGAATGTTTCCTTGGAAGAAGCGTATTTTCTTTCCTCTTTGATCTGCAACATTAGGTAACTGTTTTAATTCCAGTGGAATTCAAAATATTTTTAAATACATATTTTAGTGATTTTTGTCCTGCAGTTGTTACAAATAACTACTATCAATGGGCAGTTATTTCATTAACAGTGTTACAGTGTAACATAGGCATTTCCAGTAGAATTCCTTATTTGTGAAGAAAAAAATTCTTGGGACTCCTTTTTTGTCCGCCCCACACCTTCAAACGTTTACAGAACACAGAACGTGTGGTACAGCTTCCGAGTTGTGCCTCACTTCTCCATAAGCACTCAAAATGCTGACATGTAACCATTATTAAGTTTGTTCGGATTCGGTATAGTTCTGAAAGGAAAAATTACAGATTTCCAGTCAATTAAATACAAAGAGTCTAAATATTTTCCAAAGTATGATAAAAAAATGAAAAGGATTTTTGTACGTGTTTACTTGCATACCAGATTTCCCATTTGGTAGAGATACCTCCTTAGCCTGGATACTGGTACTCATGATAATCTTTAAGTTTTCTTTTGTATCTAATCTAAGCCTCTGCAATATCTTGCCCTGCACCAACTGTATCTTAAGATAATCCTAATCATTACTGCCACAGAGAGGAGGTTAAAATGGTACATCCATCTGTATGACATTATGCGTAATATTTTTATTAAAAACATGCATTTGTTGTGACTTCAATTTCTATATCCTGACATGTTCATTATCCTGATCTGATGGCAGTAACCCTGTAGCATAAATTGCGTGGCGTATTCTGATCATAGGTATCAGATGAGTCTGTCGTAAATATGGATGAGAAGTTCTGCTGTGTGATCATCTGACTTCCAGCTAGTAACACAAGGAAAAGTAGTTCATTGCAGAGAGAGAGGAAAAAAAAAATTGAAAACTTTAAAGAGTATATACACATAAATCTTACATCTAGAGCAAATACTGTTGTAAGAGTAGTACAGTAGACCAGCAGTCTTTAAATGGCTGGATCCTGGGGGTTTTGCCAGAAACCAAATTTTGTTCTTCAGAAGGAGGAAACCTTGTCCTCTGCTGTCACGAGTCAGAGGAAACCGTCAAAATGAGACGAAAACGTGCTACAGGGATAGTGAAAAGTAGCATACAGAATCAGACTGATGGAGGCTGGCAGGGACAGCTGGAGTTTGCCTGGTCCAACCCCGCTGCTCAAGCCAAGCACCCAGAGCTGGTTGCTAAGGTCCATGTTATGTTACAACATGCTGTGTTATGCTGTAAGAATTATGCGTTTTCCTTTGTATTCTCTCTTCAGAGTGAGGGATGACACAAAAGTTCTGTCATCTGGCTTTTCAGAGGAGGAGAGAAAAATGTCTGCTTTTTTAAACAGTAGAACTACCAGAAGCAGTAGAGGTACCTCAAACCTTTTCTACTGTATGGGGAAAAAAAAAGTACTCTTAAATTAGATGTACTATGGCTTACACAGCTCGATAACCTCCAGGAGAACTTTTCTTCAGCTAGCTTTCTGCAGGAGGCAGAGTACAGCTGTACTGAAGGATGCTCTGCAGTGCTTGATTGACACTTACCCTCCTCTCCTGCTCCCATAGCCATCATGCTTTGTCCCAGTTCCCTCTGTACCTTTGGGGGGGAGAGGGGGGTGCAGTTTAAAGATCTACAGGAAATTAACACCGGATTTACCCCTGGTTTTGTTTAAGGATTTGGTGTCATTCATGTACATTTTTTGTCTGTGGTCTATGTAATGTGTAACAATTACATATTACAGTGACAAAACCATTAACGGTATGTATCTCTGATCTTTGTTTTAACAGATTCCATGGAAGCTTATCAGGATTCACCATATCCAGAAATTGATTGTTTTGTTCGTTCTTTGGTTAATAAAGATGGAGTGCAAGGAGGTAAAGACCACTTTACTATTTATAAATGAGTATTCCACAGCAGTATTTTTAAAGATATTTCCCCTCCCCTCCCCCAGGGATACGACGGTGGAATTATTTCTCTCTGGAAGAAATACTTGTATATGATATTTCTGGTTACCGCTGGTGTGAAAATATTGGAAGAGCTCACAAAAGTAACAACATAATGTATGTTCTTTAACTATTCACTTTGAAACAGCTTGCTTTATTTTCCTGCTCAACTATTATTCTATAAAAATGCTGAAGACCTCTTATGGATAGAATCAGCACCTGTTACAATTTCTGCTCTCTTGCTCTGTGGGGATACAATGCTTTTTTTTCTTCCTTTTCTCTTTTTTAAAAAAAAAATCCCCCCCCCCCCCCCAATTAACTTTGTGATAGCTGAACTTGTATTTCTAATCTCTCTGTGAAGTAATCTTCATGCTATTTAAAATACGTGCCGGAAGCTGCTAACATACAAGTCAGAGTACGTTAAAGCCATTAAGTGGTACTATGCTTTGATGCTTCTTAGCTAGGAAGCTGAACAATCAGTAATAAAATAACCAGACCACTTTTAAATTCATTTACAGTGCATCTTAAACTACATTCTTATGTTATGAAAATGACAAAGGTAACTCCTGCCACCGCGTCAGTCAAGATGAGTTTTGCTCATGGCTCTGCAAGGACTTGAACTTCTTACAGTTTTAGCAAAATCATTGGTGAAAAGTCAAGTTTTTTAAGATGACATTAGAATTGCAGTATATCATTAGTAGAAATATTTTAACGTAAAAATAATTCTACTTAACATTTAAAATAACTGAAAGATAAGGAATGTATTTATGAGAAACATAGGTATTAAAAAAAACCCACAACAACCCCCCGGCCATTATCTGAGAGGAACTTGGTGTTTCTCAAGCAAGTTGCTTGAAGCTTGGTGTTTCTAAAGCACAGCTGAAAAAGCTGAGACAAGAAAGGGATTTTATCTGGCTTGTTTATTGAACAAAGTAACAGACTGTACAAAACCACTACGTAATAAGCACGTCCGAGTATGAAAGCAGTAGCCAGAGATGGGGACAGACAAAACCTGTTCATTTAGTGTCAGAGTTTCCTACTGTATGCATTCACTTCATTTATGTACTGTTACTAAAAACTAAAATTATTTCATTCTTAGGATTCTGGTAGATCTAAAGAAGGAGGTCTGGTATCAAAAGTGTCATGATCCAGTCTGCAGAGAAAAAAACTTCAAGTCACAAAGTATGTATTCTGTGATTTCAAAGCAATTCAACTTTAATACTTTTTGGAATGTTAATTTTAATTAATGCCATATATTTGATTTAGGTTTTCCATTACCACCTTGGATATGTCTCCCTTTTCTTTTCAAAGAGGTATGTTTTTGTCCTGTTGGTATGCTGAAATTCTTGTGAGTAAAGCTGTCTCTGGAAGCCACAGAAAATACCCACTAACGCAGTCTGTTGAGCTCCATGCAGTACTTACACTGGTACAGAACAGCTCCCCAGAGCAGCTGTGCTAGTGTGGTAGTTCCATATATTCATTTTTAAGTTCTCCAGTAGCAGATCTAGCACAAAACCTGTCAGCACAGATAAAGCAAAGCTACTGCAATAGCCTAACTTCACCTGGGACTAAAGATTTCCTTCCGTTTTGGTCTGAGCAGCAGTTCCCAGTGCATAAACCACAAGACCACTGCAGGCGCAGAACGGAAAAAACTGCCCAAGTTAAGCTCTGCTGTGCATGTTTGACTTCATGCTGGGCCAGCTAAAATAGAGGTGCTCCTGGAACACTTGAGTCACAAGTCAAATTTAAGTCAGTGACCATCAAATTTGAAGTTCACTTAACTCCCACTTCATTAATTTCATTAATTCAGTGTATTAAAGCAGTTATGTTTACCCACATGGGTAGAATATTTAAACTGACCTGATACTGCATGTAGATTCCAAGCCCTGAACATAATAGTTTTTCTACTGAGTAGGCAATAAGAGTTGGCCTCTTCGCAGCTTTCAAATTTACACTTTACACTTCTGAATTTCATACTGCAGAATGGCACATTAAGCTCTACTTAAGCAGTTCATCAATAGCTATTAGTGTTATTTCATAGACAGTGTAAGCAAAATGCATTTTCAGATCCTGACAGTATCTTTAAACAAACGCTAAAATTAGTTTTGACCTTGTATTATTTTAAGAAGCTGTATACAATAGACTACTTGTAGTTTGCTAGAAAAACAGCAAATTTGTATTCCTATTAAAATGGGCTTCCACAGGTTAACATGGCTATAAATTAACTGTGCTGTTGGCCATCTTTCTATAGTATCCGTTATATGCAACAGTATGAGTTTCAAACTTTCAGATCAGGAGTTAAAGGTACGAAGACCATTTTCATGTGGAATAAATAGTATTCTTGTTTCTAAAAGGAAGAGGACCCAGTAATGGATGAAATGGGAGAAAAAGTAAAACCACATTCTAATGCGGCAGACTTGTCAAAAAGCTCAGTATCTTCAGAAAAAAGCTTGTCTCAAGACTTCCTGTTGTCAGACAGCGAGTGGGACAATGCAAGCAATGATGCCCATTTCCTAGAAGCTACTGAAAATGTGGAACTAGCTGAAGCTGCAAATGATAGTCTGAATTATGCCATGGAAGAAATTCCTGATGAAGTTCTTTTGGAAGCCTTAAGGAAACAGTACACTTGCAGTAAAGGCAGCAGGTAGCCACAGACTTGGCTAGCAGTGAAACCCTGCTTTAACACAACATGCGTATCACATGCCTCCCGTGAAAGGTACTGCGATGGGAGTTCAAAAAATGCTCTTCCAGAGCTGTAAGACAAAGAACGGACTAACCAACAGGTATCCTTGCAACTGGATGATCTAGCATGGAAGATTACACACAGCCTGAAAACTCATCAAGAGTGCTGCTCCAAGGTTAGCACTTGTAACACTCGTTGCTGCATGAGCTGTGTGTCCAACTTCTATGGATAAGCTAAGTAAAATAGATTTCTTTACTTCCAGAAATGGGAGGAAATTATTTTTTAAATACAAATTTAATAAAAAGATTCATCTATCAATAATTCAACACACATCTGTCTGTTCTCTTTTAAAAGTATATATTGCTTTCAAGATCACAGTCCTTTAATAGCCCATGCTGAAAACCCAACGTGTTAACAGAGCACAGAAAAGTTTTAGCACTTTTTAATTTTACTGACATTAAGTTCTTACACAGACTATTTGACAATAGAAAGATACAACCTCTGATTAAATCACTGACTTCTTTTAAACATTGAAGCAAAGTACAGCAACAATGATTAAACAAGCTTTAAGCACTGACCATTCTAATAATTGTCCCTAATAAATGTCAAAAAGTCTATTAAAAAACACTTAATGTTTCTTTGATAACTTCCCTCTTTGTACAGTCAGAGCTTCTTCCAGCTTCCTGTTAATATTCTGAAAGTGTCTTTCTGCTCCTAGAATTCTCCGCGACTCCACCAGAAGAGCAGGGAGGCTGGAAATTCCATACTGTTGTTAAGGAAATAAAATTACAGGGCAACATTTTTAACTCTTGGGAAAATCACTTACATATCTGTATTTATTTTTTCTCTATCTGAAATGGTGCAACGTGGTTTTTAAAAGTGAAGAACAGCTGACATTAGAGAGTCTTCTGAAACAGTAGGATTTCCTTACATACGGTGTCCACAGAAAATACCACACCAGTCATGAGCCACAGTGAACGGGGAAGGAGTTCTAGGACTACATGAGGAGTTAATCTGGTCAAGAAATACAAGTGCTGTTCTTGGCATTAAATACCTTACAGAGCAGACATGTCCATACCAGA